TGTGTGCTGGTTCTGAGGAAGTCTGTTTAAAAGGTACATGAAATCATGCACAAGCAGCAAATAACCACAAGTCTCTTAAATAAAGCAATCATTTCCCAATAATTTTTCCTTTGCTCTTAAGTAGGATACTTATCCATACCTGGGACTTGAAGGGTTTTAATATGGGGCTGTTGGTTTTGTTTACTTTAGCTTTGTAATGATTACCATTTCTTATTTTCTTTAGCGAAACATTTTTTTAAGAACATTTGTCTTCCTTTCTTATTACAGCTATCCCATTTTCTGTATCTCTTTCTCACAAGGCATATCTTTCTTTTAAAAACTATAGGTGTGTGCCCAGCCATTCTACCAGTCTTTCCCTGGACAGAAATAAATTCGTATTTTTCAAAGTAATTTTTTAAAAGAGAAGTTTATCTTAATTGAACTGATACCCATGCGGATACTTCAGCTTCACTGTCTCGTAGATTCATTTGAAAACGGAAATCAGATAGAACCTCACTGCCTTTAATTCACCTATCTCAGGAAAAAAAAATAATGAGCCCTCTCAGCTAAAGCCAAGCAGTGGAAACTCAATGTCCTCAGAATTGTTACATCTTACATGAAAATACAAGACATAATTCTATGAAGATGTCACAAATCACCAAAACATAGTTATAATCCTTGCCCTTTCCCTTTTGTCCAGCTATACCCCAAATCATGGGGCTCCAGGCCTTTCCTAGTCAGATACTGTTGAACTGAGAGACTGTGCATGTGGAGATGAGTATGTTTTAAAATAATATTCTCTCCAGAGTTCAGCCCACAGAAGGTTCTGTTACTTTGTCCCCACCCTCCCACTGGGTGCAGTGTGAAAGTATGAGGGGCTAAAGTTCTTGCAGCTGTGGCTCTGAGGTTGCGAGCCCCCGGGACTGCCAGTAGACTATAGTTTCCTCCCTGTAGCAGGGGAAAATCTCGATGCAGAGGGGTTACTCAGGCCACAGATGTGTTCTGACTGGTTAAAAGAGGGACTGTGATGTGGACTTGGCTGTTTAAAACTAAAATGCACTGCAGGCTCCAGGAACAAGCACACATCAGTAGTAAGGGCTGTTTAAACCATTGGGGACAGTCCTATGTTTAGATTACATTAATTCATAAATATTATACTAAATACCACTTAGACTTAAATGACTTCAAAGATAACGCATTATAATATGGCTATCCAGAGAGCACTAGTCTTTATGTCTCCTAGTAACTCAGTCTTTGCTGTTTTTTTTCCTGCTAGACAAGACCAAACTTATGAATGGATTGTGGGCTTCATCATGTGTGATCTGGTGTGTATATGTGTGTGTTAGAAGTCGTGTGTATTTGTGTGCATGCATGTATATTCAGCCACTGACTCTGTTTGTTCTCCAGGAAATAAAAAGAAGAAGCTAGAAATGAATAAAAAGTGAGCGAAGGGAAAAATTAGACTAGTGGGTGACACGTTCCTTCCTTCAAGGGAGAAAAATTCTATGGGAAGGAGCAAAGTTGGTCCTGAGCTCACTTCTGCTGCTACCCCAGGAGTTTGCCTCTCTCCTCTTTAAATCAATAGTACAGTGTCTTTCTTTTTAGAGTCTGGAAAAGCCATCTTTCTCAAAGTGCTTCTAATGGGGGAAAAAGAAGACTTAGAGTTCGCCATGAGAGTTTGCATTAAACTGGGATTTCTTTGGGTGTTGTTTCTTCAAATTATAATCCTGGGCTTTCCCCCTCTTTTATCTCTCAGCCTAACACCCAGATCTCCCCCTGCCCAATTGCTTTCTGGTCTCCAGGGGCTAAATTTACCTTCACAGTAATCACCCCAGTTCACAACTGCTATTTGCTGCCGCCCAGCCCAACAACGTTTCTCTGATACCGCGGGTTTGCTCCACAACACCCACCCACTCCCTCCTCCACAGACTCCCAATTTGACTGGAGTAATTGCCTTTTAAGGTTCACTCTACGCATGGCAGGTATTCCATTAACCCTTAGAACTCCATCCTTCTTTAGTTACCTGAAATGGCAGGTGGCCAACAAATGGATATCCATCTGAAATCGCATGCATTTAATTTTTACTTCTTTTTTCTTTTCTTTTTTTTTGTTTAACCAATAAACTACATATGCCATCCACACTAGAGGCCACTATCCTGTGATGTTTCTCAATTTTATCCCACTACAATTCATTAAAAGTTAGAATTCAAGAAGGGGAGAGAAAGAGCCACAAATATGCCCTGAAACCAGGCTTAACAAAGGCATGTTTCTATCCCTAGCCTCACGTTGTCAATTTAGAGTTGGGGAAAATCTAGAAACTGAATGGATCCCCTCTTCTTCAAGCCTCATCATGCTTTTTGACTTAACAGTAATTAATGACCAATGGCAAGCGAGTAATTTTTTAAGGTGGCCGGAGGCTTATTTTATCAGGATTAGCTAATAAATCAAGCTGTATCACTGAAGGAGGAGTTCAAACTCTTCTAGGACTGAATAAAACAGACCTCAGAAACTGTCTCATTTATTCAGCTCTTCCGGAGCTCCCAGGCACTGTTAGGGATATTGTGGCCCATCCTTGCCTGTAAAAATCTGAGGGAAAGAGAGGCAGGAAGTTTCACAGGAAAAAATATGTGCTCAGGCTCGGAAGGGTGAGCTGCGACAACGAGGCACCCAGCACGCCGGAGCCAGCGGGCCTGCCTGCCATGGGCTGAGTCAGTTTAGGGGAAGAATTATTTAGAAAAAGAAGTTTTGCTCATCCTAGGAATCCTGGCCAGATATATGTATGAATATATCTGATATGATATAACTATATCATAACCTTCTCTACCTTCCTGATGCAAATGATGATAATTCCACTTCTTTGCTACAATACAAAGGAGTCCAAACAACATTAGAAACAGTGATGATACTAGCAAGAAGGGATCACGAGAAGAAAGCAAGGACTATTGTTAAAGTTTATCTTCATTTGAAATAAAGCAGCAAATAAAGTGCCCCAAACCACATCTCACAGGAAGCTCAGCTCTTTACAACTGTCATTTGCCTCTAGTGGGTTCTTATTTTTTTTCTAAATTTAAAATCTCAAATAGTCACAAGAACTCATCATTAAGAAGGGTAAAGGATTTCCCTACTCATGCCTTTTAATTTTTATTCTTGCAATTTTTAAATCTGAAGACATATTAGAGTGACAAAAATACAAACATTGATTAGTTTCTAGGGAGCTTGATTGGAAAGGGAAAACTACAAAGATATGGTTGATTTGCAGCGGAGGAGGGGATATTATTTTAAACACTGCCTCCCTGTTCCACCTTTCCAGTTTCTTTTCTGAACATTTTCTCCATATTGGATAAAGGTTGGTTTCTCTCTCCATTACAGCCCCTACCCTCACCCCACCCCAACAAACCCAGTATATTTCCATTCTGCTGTTTTTGTGCTACTCAACATGCCATTAACTTTAAGATTTACTCCTCAGCAGGCAAGCTGGAAGATGCTAAAGCCAATAAAAACTGCTCTCTGGGACTCCAACTATCAAGAGTTTGGAGCTGTGCTTAGTATTCGGGTGAAGGGAGGGCTGGAGAAGGAGGGAGGTTGTGATAGTGAAAACCACTGCTGCTTAGAGAGCCAGACAGCTCTGCGCTCTGCACCTAATGTGCCGGAGGATCAGCTCTGTTCATAGCCCATTTGTGGCCAAGGATGAGGCTGTTCTCTGTGTGTGGGTGGGTGTGCGTGTGCATGTGCGCGTGTGTGTTTTCATCATTAAAACCACCAGCTCTAACACAGCATCTTCAGTGGCTCTCCACACTACTGTTTATGAAAAACAGAATGTCCATACACATCCCTTACAAGTTCCTTAGACTGGTGCTTCTTCCATGCCTGACGATCAATCTCTCTCAGAAAGCATTTAACTTGCCCACACAGCTCCAGCCCTGATTAATCCCCACTGCACATCCTATACATTACTGTTAGAGAGCAGAGCACTGGGCTAATTTCATCACCCACCAGCCACCCACACACATTCTACAACTGAACACATTTGGGGTTCTGCCTTGAAGATAATAAAACAAGGAGAAAACAGGCAGGCTGCAGACAATTCTCATGCCCACTTTCCTAAAAAGTTGCTGGGTTTTAATTCTTTGATTATTCTGTCTCCCCTCCCCCAAGCACTCACTAGCAATGATTGTTTCAAGGGAGAGAAATAATGTAGTATAAGCCTCTCTGCATGGTGAGTTTGGGATAATTTAGGCTACACCCTTTAAAATGCATTATCTTGCACACACAGATTTTTTTCCCCACAGCCCCACTTTTCTGAGAAGGGGGGACCATCCAGGCTTCCCCACTCCACCCAGGGGGTGGCTGCTTTCTTGCTAATTCTTGCCTTAGGTTTTGTCCCTTCTTCCTTCAAATATCCACCTTCCTCACCACACTACTCACACCACAGCGGAATTGTTGAGGTACACTGCTAGACAGGGAGAGTTTACTGTTAAATTGATAGCGAAATAAAAATATCTCTGAATTTGTCACCTCTCTCCTTTTTAGACGGCTGCGCTCCTGCTACACTGGCCCGGAGCGGAGGAGGAGACCACTGAATCTCATCTTAGTATTTTCAGCACCACGGCGATGGACAGCACCCTCGGTCCCCGGCCGGCTGCGCGCCTGCCAGTCTGCTGCTCAGCGTCCCGGGCTTGGCTGGTGCAGCTGTCCCCATCCCAATCATTCAAGTCGCTGTACCCAAAAATGCAAGCCCCGTTTCCCCTCGGTCCTCTCTCTTTCTCTTCATCTTCTGCTTCCGCTGCTCTCCCCACGGTAAGGCTTCTATCAGCTCCTTTCCTAAAACCCAGCCTTGCCCCAGCAAACAGCTCCGCACGCACCCCAGTCCTGGTCTCTGCTGCCCGAGCGCCTCCTTCCTCGGCGTCCGCCCGAGGCTCCCTCTCGCGCCGTCTCCGGTCGTCCGTCGCCGCCGGCCAGCCCGCCCGCCCGCTCGCTCGCTCCTTCTCCCGGGCAAAGTTGGGAGGGTAAGGTGCACTCACCTTTGTGCATGCCTGTGAACCTGTCCTTCAGAACCGTAAGCTCGTAGATTTTGCCGAACTCCTCGAAGAGGGGCTTGAGATCCTTCTCATCCAGGTTGCGGGGGATCTGCCCAATGAACAGCTTGATGGCATCGTGGTCCTTCATGGGAATGGTCGACGGGTTCCCCGGGCTGTGGCTTAATCCGTTCATGTGCCCGGCGCTGCCCGGACTGCTGCCGAGCCCGTTGGTACTGAGGCTCGCGTTGTCAGCCTGTCCGTTTGCTAACGTGGCCATCTTTATATACATAGAGAAAATCTTCTTTCCTTTTATTCTTTCTCGCTCGCACTCTCTTGCTCCTCTCCCTCGCAAGCTCGCTCGCGCTCACACACGCACACGCATACACACACTCGGGTTCTCTCCCCCTCGGTTTCTCTGTACCTCGCTCTCTGCTCTCTCTCTCTCTCTCTCTCTCTCTCTCTCTCTCTCTCTCTCTCTCTCTCTCTCTCTCTCTCGCTCGCGCTCGCGCTCTCTCTCCCCTCTCCCCCCTCTCTCTCTTCTCTCTCTTTCGGTCTGATCTGATTTTTACATTGAACAGACAGGATCTCTGTCCTTTCCGTTTAAACAGGCTGGACCGGTTCAAGTTCCCAGTCAGACCAGGGGTGGGGGCGGTGAGTGTGCGCTCAAGAAGGAGGGGGACGCGGGCCCCGAGAGGGAGCTATGGGAGGAGGGACTCCCGCGCAGCGGCGGGCGGTGGCCCGGAGCAGGGCGGCGTGGGGCGGTGCCGCCCCGCGCGCCTCCCCCCGTCGGCGGCCCCGGAGAGCAGCGGTGGTACAGTCCGAGACGGCCCCCGGCTATAAATAGCGCCAGGCGCATGGCTCTTCGGGAGGCGCTGAGATTCCGGCGCGGCGGCCGCGGGGAGCGGGTTCCTGTTAGAAATAGGGCTGCTGGCCTCTTCTTTACCTTTTTGGGGTTCTTTTTGTAATAGCAGCAGGTGCTACTTTTTTGTATTTTAAAAAACATAGGTTTTTCACTTTCGTGTGGGTATGTAGGGGGTCTTTATCCGCCGAGCTGTGCTCTATTAAGGCGCCAGACGGGCGAAGCAAAGGCAGGGATGGCGGGCGGGGCGGCAGCGAAGGTGGAATGGGCGCTTTTCTCTCCCATCTGGTTCCGTTTATTTATTTAAACTAGAAAAAGCCAGCCGGCTTGGAGGGAGTCCGCCCAGAGATCCGAGTGTTCATTGATCAGTGTCGAGAGAAAAAAAAGCTACATAAATATATATTATGTGGATAAATCTATAGACAAGAGCTCTCTTTCGCGCGCGCGCGCGCTGTCTCTCCGTCTCCGCTTTTTTCCTTCTCGCATTCCCAACCTGCCAGAGCAGCCCCAAATCTTCGCCCTCCCGCACGGCGTCTACCGCCACCTGAGCCACCTGGGAGGACGGGACTGGGGAGCAGTTGGGCCGCTCTGGGGGGACGAGGCGTAGAGATTCGGGGCCCGACCCTCGTTCCAGCCCGCCTGCGAATGCTGGGGGTGGGTGTTTCCGTCCGGGACGGCCTCTCCCTCCCCGAAGAGCGGCGGCTGGTCCGGCAGGAGGCTGGCGGGAAGAAGGTAGGAGCCGGGTGCCTCGGCCCGCTCCGGGGACGGTAGAAGGCTCTGGGCGCGGTGGTCAGTGAGGCAGAGCGAGGGACCAGCTTGATTTTGCCCTCGTCTGCTTAACTGGTTCAAATTGAAAAACAAAAAAAAAATGTTTTTTCTTAATCGACCATCAAAGAAATAAAGCCCCTGAGTCGCTCTTCTGGTCGAGGCTGGACCCAGACTCGCGCACCGTGCGCTACCCCCACAGGCTTCGTTTGTGGCTCCTTCCGCTCCAGAGTGCGAGGCTGGGAGTCGCGTCTGCGGGCGAGATCCAAGGGTCCGGCAGCCCAGCCTGGACTCCGCCGGGTTCCCCGCCAGGCCCGCCGGGGACAACATCGGCTGCGCGGGAGAGGGAGTGGCTGGCGCTGAAGCAGGTCCAAGCAGTCCCGCCTCTGGGGGTAAATGCTGGTGGTGAACTTGGGTTGGGAGAGCAGATTTTCATTTTAATGATATTAACCTGCACCCCACCCTCTCCCACAGTTGCTTTTCCAGGACACTATCTTCTGGGCTTCAGAAGCTGGGCAAATTAAAATAATGCGCCGCTCCCCTGCGGGGTTGCGGGGCAGAGCTGCTGGCCTGATCCTGGCCTGGCCCCCACCACTCCTTTTGGATGTTCTGGGTTTCTCTTTTCTTGCCTTACATGACGGTTACTAGACGATATGTTTGAAATTTTATTTAAAGAAATGAGACCCCAACTGCCGGAAAACCGAGACCAAGCCCAGTTGGTACAACCACAACGCAGAGCTCTCCAGCGCCAGGAGGAGGCCTGAGGAGGCCCCGAGGTTTGCAGCCCCAGGCCCAGAGCCCACCTGGGACGCCTCTCCTGGAGGATCCTGGGCCCAAACCGCACAGCAAGTACCATTCTGTAACTGTGGAACTTCATCTTTTCATTTAAGATTTTCCTGCCTTTGCTTGATGTAATCGTGTGTAAGTATAGTTGATTCATAACTCGGTTCCCAGGCTTACATTATCCAGTGTTATATAATGGCCTAAGAATCATCCAAGTTGATGGAATCAAACAGAAACTCACACAGAGAGCCTCTCTGCCATGTGGCTGTGTGCTTGGTGTGCCTGTGACGTGCTGTGATGAGGAGCGTGTCCCTGGTAGGCCCACGGAGGGTCCGAGTGTGTGGCTTGGAGGTATGTCCTTATGCATTGTCAGGGCTCCGGGTGCTTGTGTGGACGTAGTGGGCATGTGTACATGAGCCCTGCTTGTAGCCATACCCTGTTCCTGTGTGTGTACACACCAGGCTGAGACCTTCTCATCCCCTTTCTTTCAGGACAGATCAGCGGCCAATAACTTTGCCTAAAATACCTCCTCCAACATTACCTTGTGGCAGTGGTGTTTACCACCCAGGATCTCACAACAGGAGTGAAATATATTTTCTGCCATAACAAGAGTTTAGGAGAATAACTCCTACTTGAGGTCTGTCTCTCCCTGCCCCCCTACCTCCTCAAAGTGAAGCAGGAACAAGGGGAAGTGAAGAGAGCCAGCTGAGTAGGGCTGAGAAAGGAGGGACCTGCACAGAGAGCGATGGCTGAGGTTCACCCTTCACTCTTTCTGCTTCCACTTCAGGCCCCCTTTTAAGTAAATTATTCACAGGTGTTTCATTATTCATATTATTATTAATAATAATAGCCAATACATAAATAAAAGCAGTCCCTGGGCAGAAGTGGGTGAGAGTGCAGTTGTTAATGAAAGGGGGCACCTGGTTATTTCAGATGCCTGTGCAAACTCCGTATGGCATAGGGCCAGCCCCCTCCAGGACTATGCCTCTGCCCCTGCACTGTGGCCCAGTCCCTGCCTCTCCACATGGGGATGGAAAGCTGTGGAGAGCCCCTTTCTCCTTAAGCAAATGTTCCTCACCCTTCCATCTGTCCCACCTGAGGATGGCTTATTTCGGATTTGGGCTATCTCTCCTTAGGGGTAACATTCCTAACCTCTCAAGTCACTGGCAGGTGCTTGGTAAAATGCCCCACCTCCCCCTAGATTGCTGGGGCAGAGGCAACCAGGACGCCAGGCCCCGTGTAACTGAGCTACCTTGTGTAAACAGCAGCAGAAACAGCTTCTGCCAAGGCATTGATCCCTTAAAGGTACAGAGCTGAATGTTTTAAGCTACCACTTCTCTGTCACGGCAGAGTCTTGGTGATAAAATAATACACACAGGTGACTCAAACTAATGCAATAAAGAAGCAGGACCCCTGAGAAAACTGGAAGACACATGAGTTAGGTTGATTCTTTGGTATTCTTGCCCTTGATATTCTAGAAAGACTTGAGGGTTTTTCTTTTTAACCTTAGATCATCAAACAAATGTAATTAGGGAAAGATGGGGGCAAAGTACTACTGTGACATTTAGACAGATTTAAAACTTCTCCAAGTGCCATTTCAGGGCCACAGTTATTCCATTCACTGAGAGGGAGAAGGTTGGCAAATGGAAGTGGGAGCTGGAAACAATTGCTTCTCATTTTCTCTCTGTGTTTGGGGTTTACATTTTGTTGCCGATTCATTTTTTGGGGGGGTGGTTGGGAAGCCCTGTGTGGTGTGGATCTTGGCTCAGCTGGTGTAGTTATGCAGCCCTCGCCGTTGCCTCCTGCTCCTCAGTGGGAGAGGGAGCCCTCTTTGTCCTCTGTTTCCCTCCAGCCGAGCCACCATCACGCTCCCCTGTCTGCACCCACTGAGACATATTCCACAGCCCTGGCTGTGGCCACACACCCTCAGACTTGCTCTGGCTCTCCTGCCTGTGAATTGTTTCTCCATCTAGATTGTGCACTGGCAGGGGGCAGGAACCTAGTAATCAGGCCCCTCCTCCTCCTCTGCAGTCCCTCTTGACGGGCAAGCACACACAGTAGGTCTTCAAGATGGAGTTTCTAGACACCAGAGGCTAATCTGACTTTGTGGGGTGGGAGTGGGCAATGCTGTATTCATTCGTCTGGACCCTAAGGATGGGGAGCTGCAGGGCGTGAGGCCGACTCTGTGCCAAGAGTTCAGAACTCGGGATGAGAGCAAGCAGTTTAGGACACAGTGCAGTTTAGCTTCTCAAGGCTGCGTGGCTTGGCTTGGATGAATGCAGTCATTCTTACATTCATCCAGCCCTTTCAGTCTCCTGCTGGAAGCAGCAAAGGACAGGCCTGGGAAGAGCCCGCTGTTTAGTTAGAGAGACCAAAGTCATACCAAGTGAAAAACCCCAGAACAGCAAACGGCAACAGATGGTTAAATGTCTTCCAGGCCTGAGGAGTTCTACATTTGAGAGAACAGAAAACCATCCAAGTTTTGTGTAATGATCTGTGATGGGGGTAGCAGCCTTGAGGAGAGAGACATCTATGTGAAGCCAGGATGCAAAAGGTGGTAGATGGCTGGAGAGCTGGGTGATGGCCTGGCCTTAGGGCTAGGAGGTCAAGAAGCAGCTGGTCCTCCAAGGTTATGTGTGTTGAGAACAAGCTGAAAATAGAGCTGAGACCAGACCTCCAGATAAACAACATTTCTATGGTCTCTATGGAGTGATTGCTCTGTCCAGACCTGCAGAGGGCAGTGAGGGTAGGCTGGAGAGAGGGAGGCTCACTTGCTCTCTTTAGAGAGCTCAAACATTGGGTAGAGAGACTGGCCCAGAGAGCTCAGTAACCACACAAAGGCATGACCCAACCAAGTGAAAGGTGCTGTTGATGTATGCCAGGGACCCTGGAGAAAGTGGAGCTCGTGATGGTAGAGGTACCCAGGGAAGGCTTTCTGGTGAGAGAGTTGGCCCTGTAGGAAGGAGTGGGTCAGCTTGGGAGAGAAGAGAGCAGTTGAGGCAGTGGGTGGAGTTGCCAGGCCTGGAGGAGCCAATGGGCTCT